GAGTTTGGTTTAATAAGGATGTTTCTTATGATCACTTGAAAGTGTTTGGATGTAAAGTTTGTGTGCATGTTCCATAAGATGAGAGGTTGAAATTGGATGTTAAAACTAAGAAATGTATCTTCATTGGTTATGGTCAAGATAAGTTGGATATCGCTTTTATGATCCAATTGATAAGAAAATCATTAGAAGTCGTGATGTGTTTTTTGAAGATCAAACTATTGAAGATATTGACAATACTAAGAAACTAGATTCTCATACTGATGAGAGCTTAGTTGATGTTGATCCAATTCCTATTATTGATACATCTTCTGCACATGAGGGAACCCAAGGTAATGATCAAGATAATGATGAGAGTGTAGAACATATAATTGTTCCTACTGATGATGTTGTGGTTGATAATCAACCAACTCATGTTGGGATGACCGCTTCGGATGCTCCAGAAACCTCTTGTAGAAAATCTACTAGAGAGAAGCGAATCTCAACACGTTATTCTCATGATGAGTATATTCTATTGACTAATATGGGAGAACCTGAAGGTTATGATGAAGTCATGTTAGATACTCATAGAGATAAGTGGAAAGAACTCATCGTAGACAATGATGAGTTTTGTAGAAGTGTGGCAGGCAGGAAGCCCGTCAAAAGTTCTTCCACTTGAAGTCCATTTGGCCCCTTGACTGGAGAGGGAGTTTGTTGGGTTGTTTCCCATGTTACATCCAAAGGACCATGTCCTAATCCTACTTGGAAAATGATTGGAATATTCTCTTTATTCGGTTTCCAATTCTATTAGGAAAAGGATTGAAATTGTAATCCTATTTGTAGTTGATTTTGGCTTTGTAAGGAAAAGCGCAACTCTATAAATAGAGGATGATTTTGAGAGAATTATAAATTTCTCATTGGTATTGTCTTTGAAAGACATTAGAACATAAGAGAGGTTTTTGAGATAACTTTCAACAAGAGAAAAAGAGAGAAAGAAAAGGGTTCTTTTGTTGCATTCTTTTTCTCTAACCAGCAACGTTCAGACCGTGTTTCCCCATTAACTAATCATTGGATCGTCCTGAAATATGGAATGCCTATTCCTGAAATCTTGGTGGTTAATTGGAACGGTGGAGATCGGATTTGGAGGTCAGAAAGATCCTGTTTTAGGTACCGAACAGAAGCTGGGTTTGGATAGTGTTTCTTTCTATTTATCTTTTGTTGGTGTAGCTATTGTTTGTTCTCTTTTGGCACTTGTTTTGTAGCCATTAGAAGAATATTTGTAACCCTCTTATTGGTATAGTGAAGCAATTCGGATCTTGTCGATCCCGTGGTGGTATTATTCAAAAAATTACTGATTGGCTAAAAGACTGTTCTCAGCTTCTTGACATCAGATCATCTTGGACGTTTACTGATTCTATTCTTCTGGACGCGCTTTACATTCATCAAGATCGTAAACTCGCAATTGACTCCAACATCATTGTTGATTGTGCTTCAATGAATATAAAGAAGCCCCTAAAATTACCCATACCTAGACTCATGGTGGAGCTTCATTTCATCCAAATTATCGGCTGTCCATTTCAAAATCATCTATACATTTAGAGAAAACAACAAAGTGTCAGACTCTTTATCAAACTTTGGCTGCGATTATCAGTTTGACTATAGGTTTTCCTCTACAATCGATCTTCCTCAACAAATTCAGGTTTTTTCTCTCAAAAAAGTGGGCTTATTGAATATCATATTGGTTAGATTTGAAGGGTTTTTCCATGTTAAAATCGGTGTTCTTTATTGTTAGATTTTCGGTTTCATCTTTTCGTCACAATAGGAAAAACATAATATGCAAAATGATTGTAAACCTTTTCGATATATCTTTGAAAGTTTGGTAGGTACCACTGTTTGATCAAATGGATGAAAGAATGCTAGACGCAATATGTGAGAGGCTAAAGCCTGCATTGTGCACTCAAGACACTTGTCTTGTGCTCGAGGGTGATCCTGTCAATGAAATGCTCTTCATAATTCGAGGGAATATTGATTCTTACACCACGAATGGTGGCCGTACTGGTTTCTTCAATTCTTGCCATATAGGTCCAGGTGATTTCTGTGGGGAGGAGTTGCTGACATGGGCTCTCAACCGACGTCCAGTGTGATTCTACCATCCTCCACTTGAACAGTGAAAGCACTTTCCGAAGTAGAGTCATTCGCACTTGTTTCAGAGGACTTGAAGTTTGTGGCAGCACAGTTTCGGAGGCTGCATAGGAAACAATTGAGGCACAAATTCAGGTTCTATTCGCACCAGTGGCGTACTTGGGCTGCATGCTTCATTCAGGCTGCATATCGTAGATATAAAAAAACGGAAGGGTGTAGCTGAACTTGAGTCTCTAGAGAATTTTGTGAATGAAATAGAGTCGTTTAGTGGGCTACTAGATATGAATGCACCATCACCTAGATCAGGTTTTGCAGAATATACAACAAGATGGGCAGCAAGTAGAAGGGGTCTTCACAAGCACTCTGATTCAGATTCCACTTCAGTTAGTTCATTACAAAAGACAGAAGAACCTGATTTCTCTGTTGATGATGAGTAACTTTGAAAAGTGATCCAGTTGTAACTTGTAAGATAAGGTGGATATGTAAATTGGTTAGCACATTCTTTACTAAAATATTGATATATAGGAAACGCATGATATATAAACATGTCCCTTCAACTTGTTCTCAACAGAAATTTACACCCTTCAACTTTGGGTGTAGATAAGTAACTTTTAAACTTGTATAAAGTTGAACAAGTAGGCACATGTGTCATACGTGACATAATACATGTGGAACACGTGTGTCTACTTGTGTATACTCAAAGTTGGAGGGCATAAATGAAAATTGAAGCCAAGTTAAAGGACACGTTTATGCATTATGCCTATGAGAAATCTTAGTTCAGCTTATTTACCATTAACATAAAAATTGTAAAGTTCAAAGAAAAGAACAATGCCTGAAACTTAGAAGCCTCTAACATGGAATTTGGTGCAATTTACACTTAAAACATATCAATTTGTTTAAATTAGAGTCATCAAATCAATTTTCTAAGCATGTTCCCTTTGATATGGTATAATCATCAACATAAAATATTGAGAAAAAAGAGTATCTTGAAATGGAAGAGTCTCGTGTTGGTGTTGAGGGTTAGAAACAATGTATTGATTAATAGCGTTTCAAAGACACTTCATCTGATACTATACGTCAACAATTGTTAGTTAGTAATATAACCCAACTATGTGAGTTTGGATGATTCCGACATGGAGTGGTACATAGTTGAGAATCAATAACCAACTGTGAATGTGCTCAAGTCAGTCGTAGGTAAAAACATTTACGAATAAAAACATGATTCAAGTTTAGGGTAACAGAAGTGTCAAATAACAGAGCGGTTTTGATTTTAAGTATCAACTACAATAGCAAATAACACGAAAGTAACAAGTATAGAGACAAGTTTTCGGATGTGATTGGAACATGGGCTAAGGTAGACAAATGGGTGATTGAAATTAATAGTGTTTGCTAGACTTAAGTGGGGATAAACTTTCTCTCGAACAATTTATTCTGAATCAAATCGGTTTCTCTCGAACACCAATAAGCAGCAAGTAAGAACAACCTTCACTTAGACTTCACTTAATCATAAGCACAAAAAAATTTGTTGCAAACAGACTCGCCGAACCAATCGACGAGTCACTGAATAACTTTGGCAAGCTAGATCAGGCTATCCAAAAAGATTGGCTCAAAATACTGAGAAATATTTGGCATATCAGTGATAGGAAGTGACTTTCGGTTAATCATCGATAACATTCGGCCAGCACAGAATATCCAGCCAAAAGTTAAAGTGCAAAAAGGGTTCAAGGGTGCAGACAAAGGGCGATCAAGAAGGGTGCATATAAAGGGCGATCAAGAAGGGTGTAGACAAAGGGCGATCAATAAGGATTTTTAGTGAGTCGCCAAGTATTATCAGCGACCTCAGGCTTCTCACCGAAAGATAGAAATCAAATATCAAGTTGATCTCGACCCAGCTAGTCAAACGACCCAACGTGTCTACTTTCAACCCAACTTCTTAAACTTAATCTCGTAACCCCTGAAAGCAAAATCAAAGCATGCACCCATTAAATTAAATTAAGACGCAATATACCTATTACCCTAGGGTACTCAAACTTCTCTTGGTTTTGCCAAATTTGGCAATTTGATGACTTTTACCCTTAAGAATGATTTCACCCGCTCTATCATTGGACAAATTACTATATTTATACACATCAGGCGAGCCACCCGGTGGTGTGGTACGTAGTAGGTTTAGTACGCCCCGCCCAAACAAACGGCTCCGAAACAAACAAAAAGGACACACACACACACACACACACATATATATATATAAATATGTATATATATATATATCATACACATCATTAGATAACTAGGTAAGTACTTATTTGTTTAACATACTTTCTTAACTTAAGTGTATATATATATATGTTATGTGTATATATATATATATATGTATATATATATCTATATATATCTATATATATGTATATATATATACACACATTATTAAATACCTAACAAATATGCAACCTTGTATTAGTATAAACTAAATGCTTACAAGTTGAAATTTTACCTACTCTATTTTGATTGAAATGTATTTGAATTGTAATTGATTAACAAAAGGAGTTATTTATACTTTATTTTGCAAGTATATTCCTACACATCTAATGTGTTAGTATGATACAATTGAGACATTTTTTAGTTGTCAAAGTCATAATACTTTATTATACAAGTATGTACTAGTCGAAGTTAAACAAATTATGATAACCAATTTAGTAAACCATATCAATTTTTTATGATAATAATGCAATATTTTCAAAATCGAATACCAAAATTACTTTATTAAGAATTTCATAGTAATACTCAAATTTTAGCTTTCAAACTTATTTTTGTACTTTTTTTTACCTAAAAATAAGCACTTTGAGATATTTTTATCTTTAAAAATTTAAAAGCCAAAAACACTTAAAATAATTCAATCTAAACACGTTGGGAGCATGAAAGTAGCAAATTTGGGTATAGTTACGAGGGATTTGATTCATTTTCCATCCATTTGGCATGAAGTTCCATGATGGCAAGAAATTTACGTACTTTAGTTCCAAAGGTTTAACCGGATCTCATCTAAATATTCAGTGAAAATCTGTAAGTTATCCACACTCTTTACCTTTTAAATTGCGATCTTATTTTTCTAATTTCCTTTTGCATGCTCTATACATTCCACTAATTTCTCATATTTTCCCCAATTTTTAAAAATGGAAATGATACTGAATTTAATCATGTTTTCTGGAATTTACTAGTATGTCTTTTGGGACTAGAAACACACACTTTTGAACAATCAATTTTCATGTTGATTAATAGGGAGTTTTGGAATAATAGAAAAGTTATGTCTGTGTTGTGACGTATAGGTTACGGATTCGAGTTGTGGAACCCCTAATGCTTGCATATGGGTAGTGTATGTACTACATAGATGCTTCCCTTCCCAAGATCCTGCTAACACACGGATGTGTTGTGCACCCAACTGCCTTTTGCCTAATTTCAAACAAAATTATGTCCAAATGCCTACTAAATGTTCTTTCTTTAAGGGAATGCAAAAATATTAAAAGATAAATATTATGGACCGCAGGTAGTTGTTCTGTTTGTTTAGAAATTTTGTGTTTTGTGTTCGCTAGTAGTCTTATCAGTATGTTAGAAGCTTATACAGTAACGTACGATAGCTGTGAGATTTAGAGAGTTTTAGTTCTTAAAAATTACTAGCATTGGCATCAAATGAGCCTAAATAATGCGAAATGATTCATATAGCCGGCTTCAACTAGTTTCGGTTTGATAGTTGTGATTTGAATGATTCACTGTAAGTAGAAGTTGAATATTCTTCTTAGCTAACATTTTAATTTCACATCATTTTAATCTTAGAAAGTTTGGCTCACATAGCAATAAGACGGGAGTGAGCATGGAGCCTCAAAACTTTATTTCTTATTAATTTCTTCCCGAAATTTTCTCTGATGGAGCTTACGAATAGCTTATTTGGTTTCTCTTAGAAGTAAATTCAATTACGAGAATATTTAGACATTTTTTCATTCTAATACTCAATAATTTGGATTCTCTAACAGTAGATGTTGCCCATGACAAGTCTCAAAACATGCACACTGAAAAGACTCTTAGCGAATCAGCAACATACTTAAAATATTAATCTAAACTAGTTGGTAGTTCCTAAATGGATCTATTCCCTTGATTTTGCTCTATCGATTAGTATGTGGAGATAAAGATTTGTTGAAGACGTGAAATTATGCAGGTTACTGCGAACATCTCACATTTCCCCAATGATTAACAGATTCAGCCCTTCTGGCATGACAACATTGCTTATTCTAGAAAGTGTAGGATGCTCAAGGAATTTGCTTATGGTTAGTGCTAACTGCTAACCCTTGGATTGCACAACTTTTATCACAATGACAACCTTGTACCGCAGGTTTGTGGCAATACTTGCACTGGAATAAATTTTATTATATATTTGGATCTGAACTCAAGCTTGTGATCTATGCATATATCTTAGAGTAACCATGTTCTTTTGTTTATCTGATTCAGTGGGACTTTCAGAAGAACGAACAATAGATCCAGACTAGTTATAACGACAATTATGGGAATGGTTTTAGGATATTTTATTGGCATTTCATCTCCTTATGTTTCTCTAACAAAAGTAAGGTAGCCCAATCTTTCCATATCTACTCTGATGTTGATTTAAGAAACAGAAATCATTTGTTGTAAATTTTTCTTTTGTATCTTTTGTAGATTAGCATACCTTCAAATCTTATATCAAATCTAGCATTTGGCGATGACCATCGTAGACCTTCTATTGAACGCTTTTTTCCAGAGCATCTTATAACTCCACAGGTACTTATTTCACTACTCTTATCTTCAACTCTACCTTATTGTCTTACTTGTCTAGAATACGAACTTTGGGGACTCCAGTAAAACACAAATGGTATATTAATTTGGCCAGTAAAGTCATGCAAAACTATTTTAATCTGTATCTTCTTCCTTACGGTGTTGAATATTGAAAACATGTGATTCCAAATCAACAAAATCATAAAGCGAAATGGATCCATTGTGCTATTAGTGCTTCTTAAGTGTATGCCATTATGTCGATAAATATCTACTTTTATAAATTAACGGCTCTTGTACCTTTTCATTTGCATCCATGTTTTTCTGTCTTAAATATAATGGAAGTCAGCATTTGGGAAAGAACTAGTTGTGATTATTTTAAATTGCAAAAGCCTTCTTTTTGGTAGCTGTTGGATCTCAAAAGTTGAGTTTCTTATAGTTATTAACTCTCCCTTTTCCTGTGGTCTAGATGATATCCATATAAAAGCTTACAAGTTCATTAGAGTTCAAGGTTGTATGACTAATAAATTGTTTTAATGTAATATTAAGGAGTTGAATATTTCAAGTGAGTGAAAAATTATCTTCGCGCCAGCATATAAACACACATATATAAGTTATGGGAGCTGCTGCTATATTAAGATGATGAGCGATATGATGAAACTTTTGTTATACTGATAGAGAATAGATGTGGAAACATTACAAGGTGACAGAGAATCAATTTGAATCAATGCTTAACAAATAGGTTATATTTTGGTTAAAACGATTGATGCAATTTATAAGACGAGGAAGAAGGTTCGCAACATGATATTCATTGAATCAGATAATCATATGATAAAGCGCCAAGAAGAATCTGTTCTGGATGATTAAGAAGAAATAGGGGTGTAAACAAATTTATAGATCTCATAAATTATATGTACGAAGAAGCAATCCCACAATGTTGAAGGAAATACAGAGGAGTTCCCTATGAATGTCAGTTTACTCCTTTGAGCTGCAGAGAGGAGCTGACTAGAGGTTATGGGTTTTTTCTACCAATTGGGGCTCTCAACTAGTACTTACTTTTCCTTAGTCATATATGAGCTAACCAATAATATAAAAATGTGGTTCCATGGTGCTTGTTATTTGCAGATGAAATTATTTTGATTAATGAGACTAGTTGGTGAGTTAAGCAAAACTGGATCTATGGAGAACACAAGATAGTTAGAATTAGGATCAATTGAAGTAGACAGATTACATGAACAAATATATATATGCGTTTATTGAGCAAGTATATCCTCGAATAATTTTGCGTGTGTAACGAGATTATGATATAGTTTCGACTGCCATGATAGACTTGAGATCAGAGCATCTATAAAATGTTAATGCGTTTCATTTTATAGATATATGTTCCAACAAATCCTCGAGGTGCAGAGTCCTTGCCACCACGGATTGTGGTCCCTGAATCAAATTTTTATCTGAGAAGGTTGTGGGGTGACCCAAGTAAGGTATGATACACATATGTCAATAATCATTGGTTAACTTCATTTTCAGGGAAAAAATGAAAGGAATATCTGCGCATTGTATAGTGTAAGATACGTGCAATATACACTTTTGAAAATTAAATTAATGGATACTTCCAGCGTCATTTGGAGATTTGCATTAACAGAAAGGAGAAGCATGTAGGTTGTCATAAAATTTCCCACATTTATTTTATGTATTACTTCCTGGTGCTTTATTTAGGTGAAGTTTTGTCTTATAAACTTTGTTGAATTATTAGGATCTACTAAAGAAGCCAAAGTACTTGGTGACATTTACTGTTGGTTTGAACCAAAAGGACAACATTGATGCAGCTGTTCAAAAGGTAATAACAATGAAGCGATATCATTACTACTTTATCTCTTTCACTTGACAATGCATTCCAAATGTGATCATTTTCTATGCCTTCATTAGTTTTCAGAGGATTTTCAAATTTTGCTTTTCCATTATGATGGTCGAACAAGTGAGTGGGAGGAGTTTGAGTGGTCCAAGCATGCAGTTCATATCAGTGTTAGGAAGCAGACCAAATGGTAAGACTTCAAAATTTTGTGAGTTTTAAGTTTTATCTATCTGATGCAACAATCAAAGAATAACTTTGTTCTATTCAAACAGAAGACTCTTTTAACTAACATATTTGGTTCTGTTATTTTTTCCACTAAGCTGATCGATTGAAGGGAAATGAATGCTTTCGGATATAATAACTTGTGTTCATCAAGATTTAGTCTAATATTTGTCTTTCTCTTGCCTTTATCAGGTGGTATGCAAAGAGATTTTTACATCCTGATGTAGTAGCTGCCTATGATTACATTTTTATATGGGATGAAGATCTTGGAGTTGAGAACTTCAATGCAGAGAAGTGTGCACTATTCCCTGGATGTCTTAGTTGGTTTCTCATTTTCAAAAGTGAAAGTATATGTGTTTTCTCGTATATATGTTGTTTTGGACTAATCTTGGTCACCTGAGTATGCCAGGTATATTAGACTTGTTAAAAGACATGGTCTTGAGATTTCTCAGCCTGGTCTTGAACCCAACAGTGGACTGACATGGCAAATGACTAAGAGGAGGGATGATAGAGAAGTTCATAAGTAACATATTCCGTTAATCCTTTCCGTCTCAAAGTTTACTTGATTTGCACCTATTTTGAATGGGAGTCTGTATAAATTAGCCTATGTTCCTTCACGTGTAAAACTTTTTTTGTGGATTGATTAACAGGAATACTGATGAGAAACCAGGCTGGTGCAGTAATCCACGTTGGCCTCCTTGTGCAGCGTACTCTCTCTCTCTCTCTCTTTCTCTCTACTCCCCATATGGTCTCTATGAGTTCTACTCACCTACTTCCACATGATTTACTCATTAATATTGAGAGGCAGTTAACTTGTTTCTGCCTTTCTTCAGGGTTGAATGTGCCAACTGCACTCATTTTCTTTAAAAGAATTTTGACTCCAGACTAGATTTTGAGTGTTTCAAAGAGCCTTTGCATATTTTATAGGATTTATCATACTTTTCATCTGGTTTCTTGTTCAGTTTTGTTGAAATAATGGCTCCTGTGTTCTCTCGAGAAGCATGGCGATGTGTTTGGCATATGATTCAGGTAATTCCTTATACTCTTAGGATCAGATGCATTAACTACCAATGTCATTATTACTCTTTAGTCGTTATAATCCATTCAAGATGAAATTACCCTGATAATGAATATATTCTACTATTTCATATACAATTTATACTAATATTTGAACTTAATTTTATTGTATAGAATGATTTGGTGCATGGATGGGGATTGGATTTTGCATTGAGAAGATGTGTAGAGGTTATTATTTCTTATTTCCTCCAGATACATTCTTTATTTGTAATAGAACTGTGGTAAAATGAGAGCCGCAGCGGACTTATTTGAGATATGTTGCTCTGGCCAAATCTGAATTTCCTTTTCCATGGTTAGTGCAGCCTGCTCATGAAAAAATTGGCGTTGTTGATTCGCAGTGGGTAGTACATCAATTTGTCCCTTCTCTTGGGAGTCAGGTCAGTCAATGTTCATTTCCAGAAAGCTGCTTATTTGTGAAGTAATTATTTTATTGTTATATGGGGAAATTTCCCTACTGATTTGGGAGTCAGGTCAGTCAATGCATTACCCTACTTGCCCAACCAATTTCATACTCCATTTGTGATTTCTTCAACCAACCATATGTTCCCTAAATATGCATGTAGACATTGAAATTTTGTGGGACTTTATAAGATGTCAATTCAAGTTAGGACTATACAAATTGTGTTCAACTCAAATTAGGATTCTTGGAGGCTACTCAACCCTAAATCCTAGTTTATGCGTATATAAATGGTACTAAATTCTCTTAAAGACATCTCAAAAGTTCCATAAAGAGATCAACAATGTCTCAAAATATTCCACAAAAGTCATGGAATATTCATATAGAGGTCAAATATAAATCATCCTAGTCGAAAAATATGCCACTAACGGCCCTCGAATCATGGATAAATCTTAGGAGAGGAGAATTAAGGGAGGAACAAATTTGTACTCACAATCTTGATTAATAAAATTATGTTTCTTCATATTTTATTTGTGTGGTTTATTTATCTTCCATATGTTAAAAATTTGTTGCAAACAATGTAAAAGTTGAAAGCAATTACCTGCAAGGCAGCTCAATGCCTTTAAAGATGAGGCATATCCCATAGACCCCCAAAATTGAAGGCCCTAATTTTTTTAGTAATAATAAAATTATCTTAAGCTTTTTGTACCCAAAAAAAATAAATAAAAATAATGTTTTAATTTTTTTCGAACATTAAAGAATGTTTTTTTTATGGATCAATATTTAAATTAATTTTCACATGATAGGTTTAAGAACACAAAATTAAAAATATTTTGGTATATATATATCTTTAGTTTAAGATCATAAAAAAAAATAAAACATTTTTTTTTATAAAAGAAGGAAAGAACTTGAATCTCAAAAGTAAAAAAAAATAATTAAAATTTAAACGTCCAACTTATTTTTGGCTTTAGGCAACTAATTAGCTTGAGCCGCTGAATTTTCCCGAGTGCTTGAGATGATAATCATCAACTTTGTTTTAAGGAGAACATTTCTTTCCTACCAAACACAACTTTAATGGATGGTTTTGATCAAGAAACATGCGAAAGTAGCCAAAAAGGAGAAAAGAGGAAAGGTAGGAAACGAAAAAATGGAAATATCATTATAGTTTTGATTTATTAGGAGATAAACAAAGAAATAAGTTTTTCTTAAAAGGGTAGCACAGTGCGTAAAAAATCTCATATTAGTAGGGTAGAGACAAGGACGGCATCTCAAGGGTTAAATTTTTTTTCATTTGACCTTCCCTCTGATTCTGCCCACTTTTTTATGGAAAGAGCATGTGTTTCATCCTTATCCAACCCTTTGTCTCCCTTTTGTCCATCAAAAAAAAATCACTTATCTCCCATTCCTCTCCTTTCATTTATCTTCATTCCTTTTAATAAGGAACACTGATAAAAGAATCTAATCCTATGATTTTTTGGTGTTTGCTATTTGATAATTTTGTGAAGTCATGAGCGACTGCTTGAAGCATCGTCTAAAGACTAACACAGGAGTGGGCTTAACATTGTCTTCTTTTTGTTGAACTTGCGGAAAGATGACATAATATTGTATTACTTTTTTAAAATTAATTAAATGGGGTAGGGTGCTACACAAAAATGAATCAGATGGTCAAGCTAGTTAGTTTTGTCATATCAGCAGTTAGTTACGGGCTATTGAATTAGTTAGAATCAGTTTGCAATTTAGAATCTCTCTCATTTCTATAAAACACATTGTATCATTACAGATTGATACATCAATTTGAATATACAAGTACTTTTTCTATTGAATTCTATTCTTCATCTTCTTCTCTTCTCATCCTCCATAGCTGTTAACTCGGTAAAACTCCTATCCAACTGCTAAAACCTCAGACTCCTCTGAGAATCTGTGCATTTTGGCTGACATAGGGGAAGGGAGAATTGGGTAGGGGATTACAAGGTGGGAAATTGAACCATCAACAATAAGATGAAAATTTAGATAGTCAATTAACTGAGCTACTAAGATTTCGGACCCCTTGTATTACTTTCTCTTCTTGAGGATACGAGAAATAGTTGCTTTCTTGCAAATATGAGTTTTTTGTTCTTCTCTGCATGTGGCTATATATCCTACAGTATATTTCCTGCTTTGAATTTGTGTTTTTATAACTATGTCATACTTCTTTGTATTGAATAACAAACTTGCTAATAGATTACATATATATCTTGCTTGAGTTATTCATTAATCATTGATTCTTTGTCATGTTCTTGTTTTTTTTTTCTTTTGGATTACAGGGTGAGACTGGGAATGGCAAAGCTCCTTGGGAAGGGGTAAGCATGTCCATGCATTGCCTGAAATTTATAATGGCAACTATATATCATACTCCCTCCTGTGTTTTTCCATCTGTCATACTTGACTTACTCATCAACCTATACTCTCTACGTCTCAATTTATGTGTCACGCCTTTTTTTTTATCCGTCGCAAAAAGAATATGATATTTCTATATTTGAAAATAATTTAACTTTAAAATCTACCTTTACTCTTAATGACATCTTTTATGGTATAGCCCGCAAATGGTCAAGGAAGTAGTTTAGACCAAAACTTTTACAACTCTTCCTTTTCTTTCTTAAATTTCGTATTATAAAGGGAGTAGCATTATTCATGAAGAGTAGTTGTCAGATTAACAATTATTTCTTCCGTCAGAAAAATTGCTTTTTTGGTGTAATTAAGGTTGAGTTGAAAAATATCAAATGTGTTTTCTTAGTTTTCCATTAAGTGAATGAATATTTTGAAATAATTTTTTCTTGCTGAAATAATAGATCAAAAACATTATTTGATTACTGTATTGGCTAAAGTGAATGAAACTATGTATTGTAGGTAAGAGAGAGGTGTACAAATGAGTGGGCTATGTTTCAAGATCGTTTAGCCAATGCTGATGAATCTTATTTTGTCCAACATGGAAAGAGTAGAATATAAAACTCTTTCAATTACTTTCGAAAGTCATATTTTTTTTCTTTCTAGTGTGCAACATATTTAAGTTTCCAATGTTAACTATAACCCTAATGACATGATTAAGGTATTTCCCTGATATAGTAAAATCCAAGTGAGAATGGTGGATTAATACGTTTAAATTACACCTCCCAAAATAAATATAAAGCGGTTGTTATTCAAACATAGAACCTAACTAAGATTAGAGTCTATCCAACAAGGAATAAGTTTGGACTCGGTTCAATTTTTATTATTTGGGCTCTTAGTCATATTATTTTCGAAGGGGTTTGTGTAATAGATCTAATTCTATAGTAATTGCAATTAACAAGTAATAGAACATCAATTTCACGGGTTCTGAATCAATAAAAGTTGAAAGTGAAGTTTTTTGATACCCACAAAGTCATGAATTAGTAAGACCAGATATTAGTAACATTTTCTAGCTAGCGTTTGGCCATAGATTTCCAAATATTATTGGTAAATATTATTTGAGTGAAAATTTGGGTGAAATTTCACCATGTGTTTGGCCATAGGATTTGGGAAATATATTTTATATTTTAAGAAAAATATGATTTATACATACAAGTTTTAAAAACTATCAAAACTAACTAAAAGTTTGTATTACAAGTCAATTGGATATTCGTTACAACAATAACAAATAGTGTCCATGACACTAAAGCAATGTGGTAATTTGGAGTGAGTGCAACAAGAATTATTCTATACATCGTGAAGTAGACAAAGCACATGACTTTGTTACCTAGAGCCAATTTTTAATAATTTTCATCAACAATCATATCATTATTCAATGTTCACTAAATATTTCATCACTATTTTGGTATTCACATAAAAAATTATGTAATACAACGCAAGCAACTACTAGAGAGAGTGTTTTTGTAAAAAAATAAAAGATTGGGGTAAAATTTTAATTTTTAAAATATCCCAAATAATGAGATTTGACCCAAATACTAGAAAAAACTAGTATTTGGAAATTTGGGATGTTTGCCAAATAATGACAAATTGTATGGACAAACATTATTTGTCAAATTTTTTCGGACAAACATTATTTGTCAAATTTTTTCCAAATATTATTTGGAAAATTTATGACCAAACGGGCTCCTAGTGTGTGGCATGCAAGATTGGTAAGTTAGGTTCAGCTATGTGGTTGGTCCCCTAAATAAGTTAATATCACCACGTAACTTGGTCCTTCTGTGCGTGTGTGTTTAACTAATCCTTACCCTTAATCCCAAATTATCTATTTCCAGACAAGGTCAAGCTATTAAATGAGGTTGATAGCCTCAAATCTTTGTTGTATAATCTCATTTTCATTCTTTACCTCCTTGGTATGGCAAGTAAGAATATGGCGAGTTCAAATGTATGCATCTGTTAAAAAGCAATCAAAGTGAAGAGAAAAATAATACATGCATCCACACACCTTTTAGAAATTACTAAAATTAAGTCTCTACTTCATTAATTCTTTATGATTCCTAGCGATAATTAAATTTAACGAAATCATGCACTTACATGATGAATGGTAGAAATCCAGAATCTTGAATTTGAAATTCAAAGTAAAAAATAAAGATCCAATTGTAGTTTTGCTCCAAAATTCAAAAATTAAGGCAAAATAGTTATTTACTTCTATTTTTAGAACTAAAACGAACGTAATCCATAAAAGAAAATCTAGAAAAAGTATTTATAGACATTAACAATCCATCCAAATCAAACTAGAACGTTTGGGTTTGACACTTTTTACGGAACAATCTACGAGGCGTAGCCCATTTAAGGCTTGTGGAAGCCTATTGTAGATGGAAAGAACTTCCGTCTCAAGAATTTTTTTTATGGATAGGAACTATAATTTGTGGAACCTTTTACGACTCATACTCTTCCCTCATTAAAATTAGACTTTTTACACCTTTCTATGAATCTTGACGAGGACTCCATTCTATGGGTCGTACCGTCTCTTCATAGAATTCGGGATTTTCAACTTTCTGAATCTTACTTATGATTGTCGTCTACGACTTGTCCTACATTACCATTTTTTAGCACTTAACCTTTGAGTCCTATTTTTCTGCAAATTAAACACAAAAACTCATAAAATCTGCTAAAATGTGCAAGAAAACTTGCACAAATTCTAAGTTTAAGCATTAAAAGTATTGTAAATTCACAACATATCAACACTCTCAACTGAAAATCATTGTTTGTCTTCAAATAGCTGACACAACTAACACATCACGTCTAACTTAGCAAAATAAAACTAAGAACTTATATCAACCACATGGCTTTCAACATTTCAATTCACAAACACGACATTCTCTTTTTTTTTTATATTAAATGTAAATTATCAAGTTCTTAAACTGCATGCATATCAATGAATGACATCATCATACAAACAGACAAGGTTAAATACACAAACAACAAATCACCTATCTAATCAATAATTAACAAAGCTACTCTTGTATCCTCACCACAAAGAAGTTGTGTCCGCACACAATATTAGGATTTTCAAAATCTAGGACTAAGTAACACTCAGTTTTACAAAAGAAATTCAAATCATGCATGTAAAGTATCATAGACTTGCCCGTATTTTCTATACCTTAACTTTTGGTAGTTGAACTAGGATCACTATAGGACTTTACTTAGATTGTAACCAAGGCTCGATAATGGGTATGGTATATTTGAAAATAGTGGCTAGTGTCCTTATTGATACTACAATGCCTTGCTTTACTTTTATCCTCCCTTTTCTCCGTTTTTCATTCTTCCATATCGACTTCCAAAGACAGTAATTTCTGGCAGCTCTTTGATTTTTTTTAAAGAAATTATGTCAGCATCTGCCACATCTTTTTTTTCCGTTTACACTAGTTCTTTTTGTATGCCATTTTTCAAATTAACCTCTATAGACCCTCAACTTAAGCACTTTACCTGAGTTGAGGTGCACAATATCCAAGGAGGAGTCGTGGCAAAAATAAAATTTTACATGACAGAAGAAAATCAGAAACACGATCAGAATAACACCACAAAAAGTCTTTTTTATATTCAAAGTCATGGATCAAGGGATAATTAATTTCATTTGATCAATCAGTTAGGTTAGTGGACTAAATTCAAAAATGGTGTTTGATCCTTTCCTTACCAACACTCCTATCATTTGGGTGAGACTAATGAGACAAGTTATAGATTGACATACAAAGTAATTATAATGCAAATAGCTCACTCAAACATGACATAAAGTCTTCCTATAAACTACTAACTATCACAAAGTGATGAAAATTTAAAAAATATTTAGAATAATATCAATTCCAGATGGAAGTAGTATATATAATTAAAAATATTTTAAAAAAAATGTTATATTACATATAAAAAGAATTGCGAATTTTAGATATTTAATTAATAACTTTATATGAAAAATAATATCTTAATTACAAAATAATAGAAATAATAATATAACATTAAAAATATGAAATAGATAGTATGAATAGTAGTTCTCCAAATTTGGAGAACTACTATTCAACTCTGTATAATTGGAGAATAGTAGAGGGTAAAATAGAGATTGTTTTGAGAGGGCATTCTCTAGTTTACTCTCCAAATATAGAGAAATATATTTAAAATACATTCCTACTCGTGAAATGATAGCTGGTACTTTTACTGTTTGCAAAAGCAATATCTAGAGATTTATGTAAGAAACATGTTTAGACTCTAGGTTTGTGTAGGATATGATAATATTTATGTATTGTAAAATAACTTGGTAGTTATAATATTCTCATCAATATATGACTATGTTGAATTTATATTCATATCTCATATGCGTGTGATAATGATTTTAGAAATAAAATTTGTCGATACGAGTCTCCCTAAGAAGATAAATTTGAGTATTATTGAAAAGAGCAACTCAGGTTAGACATCTTTTAGGTGTCTAGACCAAAAGTTGTACGATCAATGGGTTAATGAAAGAATGGTTCCCTGCTTCTTCATTGTATGAGATCCCCCAAAACTTAACTTTTTATTGATGAACTAATTTTGACCTTTTTTTGTTTGAAGTTTCGATCGGTAATGCTATTTAAGTGTGTTACTAATAGCCATAGTGAATCGGTAATGTAGTGCATGTCTAGATAAATAGTTGATATGAAGCAAATAGATTCTAGTAGAAAGGGAAGATGATTAAAATGAACAATTTCACTTGCATACACAAACATATTATTACTCTAGGGTGTAATTGAGTATATATAAAAATGAACATGAAATCGAGTTCATCTCTGTAAGAGGATGAGAGATCGAATAGGTAACTATTAAAGTAGTGAAAGAAGTATGGGGTATTGTGAGTAATGGTATCCTAATATTAGTAGTGAATTCTTTACATGTGATTGAATTCCTTTTTATATATATATATATATATATATATATATATATATATATAGTAGATATA